AAGGGATAGAGATCGCGATCTCCTCATCCCCATCGGTGAGGACCTGGACCTAGATGATGTGGAATCATCCTCTCCGTCCGTCACTTGCCCTCTGCCTTGTTCCATCCACCACCACCACCATCCAAGCTCCAGCGTCGAGGTAATTGTTTCCGTTCTGTTTTCCTCCTGATTTTCTTCGTGTCGGAGATCTTGAAATCTTTGTTATTGATCCAACGATGAAGTTAAAATTCTGGGGACTTGATCTTATGGTATTTTGCCTTTATATGCTCTGCATTTTAGCTTTTTTTTGCTACATTTATCGTATGCAAATAGCAAGATATCTCTCATGTGCACGCGAAAAACATGCAATTTTAATGAAATTCATTACGCTTGATTTCTTAGATAAATGTTCCTCGTTCAAATTATTTCCCTTCTAAATTAATGCAGCCTGTTATGGAGTGCAAGGTTCCGAAAAAGAACTGGGAGAATGTTATGATTTGTTTTTGGGCCCTGAAGTTAGCCCTCTAAATCAGTGACAAATTCAATTGAACAGGAATGCTATGATTTAAAGTTGCATAGGACCTTATAATTTTGACATGTAAGATTTCATACACAGTTGGGGCATGTGATTACTCCTTTGATCATGTGAGGATTCTATTGTGTCCTGCTATATGTCAAAATCGTGCATCTCTTAGGGTGGACAAGGAACTCACGACCTCATTTTGTAATTGTGCAGGCCTGCTCCAAAGTCATCCGTAACTGGGCCACAAAAAAGTTTATGACAGGATGGTAAGCGCTCTCTTCATCAAACTCTACTAAACCAGTTGATGTAAGCTAGACTCATTTGCAATGCTATCTTTCGTCGTGTGTGCGTGTGTCTCACTTTTTCTCAAGAAGAGCTTACTGTATCATTTTTAGGATTTTACATCTTGTGTGTGTGCACGTGTGCCTTTAGGAGATGCTTTAGTACTCCTACAGTTATGTTGTTTGTATAGCAAAGTACAGGATATGTGACGAAATTGAATGATCTCTGTTTAACTAATAATACAATTATAAACAATTAAAAATAAAATAATCCATTTATTTTAGCCATCTAGCTATGATAAAGAGCCCTTCTATATAGCTATTAAAATACATCATTACAACCTTGATTACCATAAAACCCATAACAATACATAACTTGCTAATATTCACTGAGTATTATTCAATCAACGATATCAGCACTGATATGGAAGCAATTGTATATCAAATGTACTATTCCTGGCTAGATCCACAGATTTAATATCCGTAGGGAATAGGTTAATCATTGTGTCGGCATTTTTAAGAGCTCGATCACCTTTAATCTTTAGACCATTAAGTATCTGCATCATTACTCAAAGTCTTATATGGTTGTCCAAATATCCTAAGATAATAATAAAGACTCCATCTAAAATAAAGTCTTTAAGAAATATATCTTTTGTTGATTTGAAAGAACTAACGCCACTTGTACAAGTAGTTACAACAATTAATTATCTAACATTCTTTACGATAAAGCTGAACTGTTGCGCCACTCAGTAGCTGCCAAACTCTTCTGCAAAAGAACTACCTCTTCAAACTCTTACAACCTATGCCATTATGACACCTTATTATTCACTCCAGTTAAATCAATATTAACTTTCCCATAGACTGTCATCTTGTATGGTGATTTTGTCTCTTACAACTAAATATATTTCACACCAAGTAATATCACATGTATATCTGATTATTAGCCAATGTAGTAAATATACGTCCAAGTGTTCTAAGTAAATATCTAGTAAATTAGTATATTTTATAGTATCATTGCATCTCTCGAAATATGACTTATATACCTGGTGCATTTAAAATTTTCTAACTTGGCGTGTGGCTACCGGTGCACGCTCCAGTGCTCGAAAACTGATATACATCAAGCAGGATATATGATAGGTTGTAATAGATTCATATCGATGAACGATATATTTTTACTTATAGATCAAATAAAAAGTACATCAATACCACTCCACACCCCCTCGACCTCGAACCGAACAATGACCAGTGAAACACCGCCAAAATTTTCAAAGTCAAATCCTGTACATAAGGGTTGTGCGCCCAGAACACCCACATTCAAGTTTCCCGTCTCGATGAATGAAAATTAATTGAAAAACGGAATAAAGATTCCAAGAAACAACTTCAAGGAGACACCAACAACCTTTAGAATCAACGAACAAAAGATGCGATCCAAAAATGAGGTAATCCAAACCATTGGAGAGCAGGCCAAAAATTTGCGATTTAGTCTAATTTTCCAGCAACATCCACAGCTAATTCTTCAGTGAACTTAAACTTGGGAGAATTGTTTTTGACATTTTATTCTATTGCTTTAGACACATTTTACAGGGAGAAACTCTGCTTTATTTATTTAATTGTTTATGTACCGTTGTAAACAATGCATGACAATTATTATTATTTTGAGCGTTTTTCTTGTAAACAATATATTGGCGAAATGTATAAATAAAAATAACCATTTTTATTTTATGGCCATCGTAGCTTATGGATCTAAGGATCCTTTCTATATAGGCTATTGAAAATACATTTTTTACAACCCTTTTATGTAATATGTAACACCCATAACATAACATAACTTTCTAAATTCGCGGACTGAGTTATTCTATTCAATTTCATCGTATATCATGCACTTTGATTATGGAATGCCAATTTGTTACAAATGTACTTTGTTTTCCTGGCTTTAGATGCCACAGCAATTTTTTTTAATATGCCGTTAGGATTTATGCAGGGGTTTATAATATATTGTGTTCTGCATGTTTTGAGAGTCTGATGTATGTTTATCTTTTAGAGACCATTGTTAAGTATCTGGCATCATGTGCTCAGAAGTCTTATTGATTGTTGTCGCTAATATCCGTAAGAATTTAAGATAGTTCATTTAATATTAGTCTATGTAAAATATCTATCTTGTGTTGATTTGAAAGAATCCTAACGCCACCTTTGGTAGAGTGTAGTTATTACAAATAATGATCTAACAGCTCCATATTTAGCGTAAAGCTGAACTTTGTTGCTGCCTCTGTTGAATGCTGCCAAACTTTCTGTCACAAGAACTAGCTATTCAACTTTATGCCAACTATGAATTATTTGACACTTTATTCACTCCAGTAAGCTCAAGTATAACTTTTCTCAAGAATCTGTCATCTTTTTGTGTGATTTTTGTTTTGCTCTTAACTACTGTAATATATGATTTCAGCCACATTAATGCCACATGTATGATCCTATATTATTTAGCGCAGATAAGTTATATATTTTATTACTTTAAGTGTTCTAAGGTAAATTATCTAAGTAAAAGTTTGTTAGTTTATTTGTTTATAGTTCATTTGCATGTTTCTGCGAAAATTGCTTGTATATGACTGGTGCTTCATTTAATTTTTTTAACTGTGGCGTTGTGGCTATGCAGTGTGTGGCACTCCAGGTTCGGAAAACTATATTACTATTCTAAGAGGATTATTCTGATTAGGTTGTAATTAGAAGTTGGCATATAGATTTGAACTGATATATTTTTACTTATAGCGTAAATGTAAAGATACGAGCAGATACCACTTGCAACCTGATGGAACTCGAACATGACAGATGAGGAAATTTGTGCAAAAGTTTCAAGTCAGCATCAGTGTACATTAAGGGTCAGGTGTGTTCTGCCTAGATCACCCACCTATTAAGGTTCTCTGTTCTTCGATGAGTGAAAGTTTGAATAGATAAAGAGTTGGCAGAGAACAGCTTCAGAGACCCAAAACTGTAGGATCAACAACAAAAAGATCGATGCCACAAATGCGGGTAATCACCAAGATTGGAGAGCAAGCCCAAAAAGTTTGAGGGTTTATGCTACATTTTTCCACAACATCATCAGCTTAGTATTCTTAGTGAACTTTAAACTGAGAAATGTTCTTTCTGATATGTTGTATTTGCTATTGCTTTAGACT